GAGCTAATGATCAACATGGACAGCACATAGAGGTGGTATTGGGGGAACAAGGTCACAGTGAGGGGTTCTGGGGTCTCATGCTCTTATAAGAGGGTGCCCTGAGGGATCTGGAAAAGATTACTCTGATATGTAAAAGGTGTGTTTTCTTAGATGCAAAAAGAAAACAGTTTGACTTAAGGTAAAGATTCTTTGTCACCCTGGCCGGATGGCTCAGTTGGTTGGAGCTTTGCCCTAGATACCAAAACGATTTTGGGTTTGATTTCGGTCAGGGCACATATGGGAGGCAACTGATTGATGTTTCTCTCTCTCCTTTCCTCTCTCTCTAAAATCAATAAGCATATCCTCAGGTGAGGATTAAAAAAGAAAATGATTGACCTTTGTCAAAGAAGCTCTAGGCCTGAGCAGGACTCTCCTCCATGATCAGCTTTTAATTAGGAATTTTTATGTTCAGCTCACCCCACGTGGTTACTTTCGACCTCTGAGTTTGTAAGGCCACCGTGCAGGCCTCCCCTGATTCGCCAGTTTAATATGTGGCCCCTTTTTCATCCGCATGAGGTCTGCGTTTACGTGAGATACAAGCTCAGTAGCCCTATGATTAGTTGAATTAAAGCACCACCACCTCCATCACCTGTCCTTGTCTGGCCTCTGCTCTTCTCCTGTAGCCTCTCCCTGGAGACCAGGCTTCATATTCTCCCTGCACATGGAGGTTTGAGTTTGCCTTCATTTCATTTTAGTGTTTGTCTCTCCTGGCAGTTTCCCGGGCATCCCAGACACCCCAGTACCCTGCTCAGGGCCTGGCCCAGAGCAGCGCTCAGTACAGCCCACTCCACTGAGCAGAGAGGCCTTCTGTGGCATTGAATATTCCATGCCCAGCTGAAGGGACACTGAGTCACAATGAGGCTGCCCCTCCCAGAAGCCACCAGCAGGGCCCACATAATAGCAAGGAGCCCAGCTTTAATTAAAGGGGCAATTCACAGTGAAGAAGCCCACAGGATGTGAGTCTATTGTGTGGGCTCCCAGTCACCTAGGCACTGAGCTGGAGGAACAATTAAATCCACTTGCCCCTCTATTACAGATCTCAGGGCAATAATTCTGGGTGAAAGAAACAATTAATTTAGAAACAGATTGTGTTGTCTGGTCATGAGTGTTGGTGCAAGAGTCACTGGGCCCTGGGGCAGGCAGAGCTAATCCACCAGCACAAAGATGACCCCCAGACCTCCCAGAAGAGGTCCCCAGGTATGTCTGGGGTCTCTGTGCATCACGCCATGGGAGGTTTTGTACCAAGGAAATGGAGAAATGAAAAAACAAAAACAAACCAAAAAAACACAATTTTTCAAATAAGAGGACTTGAGTTTATAGAAAAGGATGGTAGATAAAATGCAGTGACACAGTGGCCTAGGGCCCAGGGGACCTTGGTCTCCACTGCTTTGACCACAAGCTTTCCAAGAAGGAGGAATTTCTCCGCCTGGGGCCATGGGCACAGAAAAGCTGCATTCTGGGACAGGCCCTGCAGGTATGGTCCCTGGATCTCAAACTGGGGTCCTCTGGCCCAACCCTGCCAACAGTAGCTGGTGGACAGCCTTCACAGGGAGCGGTTTTAAAGAGGGAATGCACTGCTGTCATGTAAGCATGGAACATTGTCATGTCAAAGTCACGATGCAGGTTTCTCATGAAAAATCAGAAGACCAAGCAATCTGGGCCTTAACATTCAACAACTGGCTGGCAGTCTAAGATTTCTTTTGAAAGCTATTGCCTCTCTCTCTTCTTCTCTCTCTTCCACCCAACCTCTCTGTGTGTGTGTGTGTGTCTCTCCTTTCTCTATATATTTTTCTCACTCTCCCAAAGGCCCACAGCCCTCATCCTTCACTTCTGTCAGAAGCTTGACCCCTGGAGCATTGGACACACGCCTTGTTAGAACTCGTCCCTCCCCAGCATCTGCCCAGGTCCAAGGAGGCCCTGCTCAGCACACAAGCATGTGAGGGGCAGAGGAAAGCAACCAGAGCCAAACCCCATGACTAAAGAAGCGCCCCGGATACCACCTCTATGTGCTGTAAATATTGTTCATTAACTACTTGCCCCAATGTATGTTTAAGTCAATGACAGGAACTTGGAATTGTGACTGAGGCCTTCAGGAGTGCTGACACCCCTCTATGTAATGAGGAGGTGACTCCTTATTCAGATTAGAATATTCAAGCATCAAAAGTGAGAGTCTCCTGTCAGCTCCCATGGCTTTTGCTTCCTCAGGAATCCGAGACTTAGCAGCCTGCAATCACCTGAGAAGCTACAAGTACTACTCCAGCAGCATCCTCAACCCTGACGGCTTCCTGGGCTACCCATGTGCCTCCTATGAGGAGTTTCAGAAGGTGGGTCTCCCCAGGGGCCTGAGAAGGGTGGGGTGGCTCTGTGGTTGTTGGTTTTGTCCCTGTGGCTTGGAACAGAGCAGAGATGTAACTCCACGACTAGTAGAGGAGGTGCTGGTAACGCTGAGCCTCGCAGAGCGTTCTTCCTCCGGGGAGCGGGGTGGGCAGGCGGCAGATGGCACAGACCGGACCCGGGGGGCCTTCCCTAGATCCCCAACTTTTCATTCTGAAAAATTCTCAAAGGATGCCTGCATGGCATAGGTGAGAACCATGCATTAATGAATGGATGGAGGGTAGAGGGACAGATGAATAGGAAGATGATTAGATGGATGAGTGGATGATTGAAAGAGGGAGGGAGGGATGGATGGGAAGATGAATTGATCAATTGAGTGAGTGAATGAGTGAAAGGCCTACTACTCTAGATGAATAGAAAGATGGTTAGATAGATGAGTAGATGATTGGAGGGAGGGAGGGATAGATTGATGGATGGATGGATGGATGGAGGGATAGAGGGGTAGGGGGATGAATGGATGGAGGAGTGATGGATGGATGGATAGATTGATGGATGGATGGTGGGTGATGGATAAATGGGTGGGGGTGGATCCATTAACAGAGGAAGGCAAAATGGGGCAAAGGCACCCCATGATTACCCACCATGCTAGTCCCCCCCTGTTTACACACAGGTAAGTATGCTATGGTTTGTTGAGTTATTTTGCCCAGCTTCTCACTTAAAAAGAAGATAGAAAAAGCATCAAGATTTGTTTGTTATAATTAATATTACATGATGGCTGAAGAGAAGAGCATTTATTTTCCAAGGGAGTTTTACATTGAAAAACATTTAGGCAGCACTTTACAAAACACGGTTTACACAGAGTATTTCATCAAATATTTGTGACACTTAACATAAATGCTAACAGATGGCAGTATCTATAAAGTCTTGCAAGCATATTCCTTTAAGTCAGAACGCACCTTCGGAAAACACTTGCATGTGTGCGGGAGAAGGTATTCAAGGATGTTCACCGCAGCACTGATTTTAATACCAAGAGAACGCGGGGAGAAAGCTAGATATCCACCACTTGTTAACCACATCCTGTATGTAACCATTCAAGGAAGGATCTAGAAAACCTCTAAGGCATATTAAGTAAAAAGACAAATCGCAAACCATCAGGTAATATACCCTGTTCCAGTCAGGGTCTCTGCAGAAGACAGAGCTCATTCTAGTGGTTCAACGAGGAGACCTCACTGGAGGGCCCGCTTGCGGAGGAGGGGACAGGGTTGAAAGAACAAACGAGGGATGCTGAGGCGCCCAGAATCTAGTGGCTGTGGGGCTCCAGGAATGGAGTGAAGGCAGCTACTGCCAGGACCTGGTACTAGAACAAGGAGGCTGCAGGGGAGCAAGCACCTCATCTCCCTCCTCCTGCTGCTGGCCTCCTTGCAAGCCTCTGATGGGCTGAACCCACGGGAAAGCCAGCGGCAAGGACCCCTGGTGAGGCCGACCTTAGGGAGCACAGGACAGGACAGAAAAGAGCGGTGAGTCAGTCTGTTGTGGAGTTGGATGGAGAGAATGGAGAAGAGCAGTGCATCCTCTCTATGGAAGGGGAATAAGCCTATGTATTATAACATATATTTTTATAGATTTCAAAGAGGAAGGTAGAGGGAGGAAAAAATAGGAACATCACTGATGAGAGGGAATCATTGATCGGCACAACCCTCCTGGGCATCGAGCCTGAAACTTGGACTTGTGCCATGACCAAGAACTACACCATGACCTCCTGATTCACAGGTCAACACTGTCCCATTGAGCCATGCCATACAGGCAAATGCCTAACTTTTTATACAGTCATATATGTGTGTGTAAATGCTCATAGAGAGCTCTAGGTCAGGGTATCCCAACCTCAGCTCTACTGGAATCCGGGACTGGATCACTTGTTACTGGGGTGCTGTCCTGTGCATTGCAGTATGGTTAGCAAATCCGTGGCCTCTACCAGCGAGATGCCAGTAGCCCTGAAATCACCCACCCCATTCCCTGGGTGTGACAATCAAGAACATCTCCAGGCAATGCCAATTGTCCCCGGGCAGCAAATCACCCCGCCGGGCTTGGTTAAGTCTACAGACCAAACTGGGAAGACCCTGAGATGGAGGGCAGGTGGACAGAGCACTGAGAAAGGTTTATTCATTTTTTTAAAAATTATCTGTGTTGTTTTCCCACTGAGAATATATCCATGGCATGGGAAAATATCAAAAGTAAAACCAAAGAAGGCAACAGTAAGTGATTTATCCAAATGTTGGAGCCCAGACATCTCCCTTTCCCAGTGGTCTTCCTGGTACAGTCAGTGGTGGGCACCTGGGTACCAGGATATATTAACCAGCTGCCCTCCATACATCTGAAAACATACCTGGCTGGGTTGGCAAGAGATTATGCTGAGCTGCAATATTTACTTCCCCCTGAGTCCCTCACCCCCACCTACATCAGAATTCCTGGAGACCCCCAACTGCATTGAAGGAAACCATTCATTATATTCGTCCTTACCTCCCACTCATGGGGGATTCAGAGCTTGGAACAAGGATGCTCCCATGGGTCATTTTTTTTTTCCAACAAGATGAGTTCATTGAACGGATAGTATCTTTTCTTTGCACAGGTTGGAGATATAGGGTAGCAGTCACACTCGCTGGAAAAAAGACAAGGAGTGGGTCCTTCAGGATTGCTTTACATGGAAGCAATGGAAACTCAAAGCAATATGGAATTTTCAAGTAAGTTTGATAGTAAAGTGAAATTACCATACTTTCCCTAATAGATTATTTATACAATATTGGGTATAAACTTCCATACACATCTATCCATACAGAACCTTATATCCTAGAATGTCAGAGTCGAAGGAAGTCTCTTAGCATCTAAATCGATCACCCCATAGGGCGGTGATGGTGAACCTTTTGAGCTCGGCATGTCACCATTTGAAAAACCCTTCCTTAACTCTGGTGCCATGTCACATATAGAAATTTTTTTTAAAATATATTTTATTGATTGTTTACAGAGAGGAGGGAGAGAGATAGAGAGCTAGAAACATCGATGAGAGAGAAACATCGATCAGCTGCCTCCTGCACATCTCCCACTGGGGATGTGCTCACAACCCAGGTACATGTCCTTGACCGGAATCGAACCTGAGACCCTTCAGTCCGCAGGCTGAAGCTCTATCCACTGAGCCAAACCGGTTTCGGCAACATATAGAAATTTTTTGATATTTGCAACCATATTAAAACAAAGACTTATATTTTTTATATTTATTTTATATAATTAAATACCATTTAACAAAGAAAAATCAACCCTAAAAAATGAGTTTGCAGGTCACCTCTGATACGCGTGCCGTAGGTTCGCCAACACTGCCATAGGGGAAGAGGGAGGCCCAGAGAGGAAGCACTCGCGATTTTAAAGGCTGACTCCTTCTGGATTGCCAATCACTTCTTCCTTCTTGCTGAAGTTGTCGGGTTGTTATTGTTGGTTTTTAAAAATTTTTTAATTTTATTTTAGAGAAAGGAAGGGAGAGGAAGAGAGAGAAACATCAATGATGAGAGAATGATTGATCAGCTGCCTCCTGCATACCCCCTACTGGGGATCAAACCCACAACCTGGGCATATGCCCTGACCAGGAATTGACCTGTGATCTCCTGGTTCATGAGTCCATTGAGCGACACCAACCAGGCCCTGCTTAAATTTTATGAATATCATGTTCTCCTTTTATAAGGCACATTTATATGGCAACTCCTTCTGTAATGGGGCGATCCACGGAGAGGACCACCAGGGCTCAGATCAAGATTTAGGAGCCTTTATTAAGCTGGCCAGCGACTACAGTTACAGCACCCTGCCGAAGCAAAGGCTGGACTACAGTGCCAACTACAGGAGTTACAGCATTTTTATTTGCAAAAACCACAAAGTTAGTTACAAAGCCTTGATTACACAATTTGTTCCCAACACAGTACAGCATCAGTACAGTGACCACCTTCCTATCTATGTGTTCAAGGAACAGAGAGCACAGCATGCCCCGCCTGGCCGAAGCACCAGATGTGCAGCCCAGCACACTTCCCATCCCACACACACAAAAAAAAAAGTTCCACCTGAAGCCTGAAACTAGCTTCCTGTTGATATGGTAGCCTCAGCTCCTAGCTCTTGTGGGTATATGAGGAGCTTGGTAAAAATGTGTTGGATAACTGTGCTGTAAAATTAGATTCTGTTTTTGAAATAAGTTCGCATAATAATTTTCATGTTAAGTTAAAGTTCTTTGACTACTTGTTATGCTACATATGAGATGCCCACAGATGACCCCGGCTGCAAAGTAAATGCATCTTTAAACAAAGATAAGGAGTCCTGCAGTGAAATTAAAGAGTCAATATGCCGCCCCAGTAGTTGACATCAATCTAGATACCAATCAAGACAGTGGAAATCTAGAGTCCAGTATTATTCTAAAGGTGTGTTCTTCACAGATATGTTTGTGTTTTAGCGTCCCTGGATGTGTATGGAGGCAGTGAAGGGAATTGCAGAAAGCCAACAGCAGCAGCCATTGTTTGGAATAACAACAGGTTGCTCACACCCTAGGGTATTCATCTATCCAGCTGATAGAACACTTTATGTCTATGTTTGCAGAGGATCCCTCAAACCACGTACAAAATATGTGCGTGACATTGATGTGGACATCAACGTTGGAAAAATCCAGAAGGTTACGTTCCTCTGGAAAAAACGTTGGCTAAATATCTTCCGGTACAAACTGGGGGCTTCGAATATCACAGTGCAAAGTGGAGAAAATGGGACTGAGTGAGTATCATGCATTACACCTAAGTGTTGTTTCTCTATTTCCTTATTAATCTATCTCTGCAAACATATATGCATATATTCAATCACCCACCCATCCACCTCCATATCCTTCTACCCACTCATTCCTTCATCCCTTTCTCTCCATCCACTTAACCCTGCCCTATGCACTTATCCATGCAGCCATTCATCTACCCAGCTATTCCGTTCAATTCTGCATCTTTCCATCTATCCATCTCATTTACTTGAAAAATCAGTCATCGTTTTCCTTAAGCCAAATTCAACTTGGCCAGAGCAAGACATCAATTTAAGGCATGAGTTGGAGAAACAGGCCAATAGAAGATTCCATTTTATCTCAGACAAGAAGGAAAGCACCCAGGCAGTAGCTGTAGGAAATCTTGGGATTATTTCCATTGGGTGCATTTATTCATACAAATTGTTTTGTTTGGAGACTGAGGCCTGAGAGGAATACAGACTGTGTGAGGGTCTAGCTCCCAGTGGCAAGCTCTTCTCTTGCTGAGAGGATGGAATCTTACTTGGTGAGAGTAGGGAGAGAACATAACAGTGTTTACAATATGGCAAGAAAAAAGGTGACCTTAATAGAGGATGATACAAAACAACGGATGTCAGTGTCTGAAAGAATGACCACCAACGGATGTCAGGGTCTGAAGGAAACTCCATCACCTCTCACCTGCTCTCATGTTAAGGTGAGAAGAATGGGGTTCGCAGAGTCACATAACGTGTCTAAGGCCACCCAGGAAAGCCAGAGGGAAGAATATTTAAACTATTTTTGAAAACACATAAGAAGACCTTGCTCAGCTGCATGACTTAGCTGTGCTGACAGTACATGGTCATAGGCCTGATTCCTGGGCGTGGTGCTGGAAGGGTCAGAGGTCACTGGGGCTGTGCCAGTACTTTGTTTATTCAAGAGCAGAGCTTGAGCCTGAGGCACTACCACGACTTGGACCCCAGTCCTCTGACCTCCAATCCTGCCCTTGTGCCACTGTGCCTCCCAGCTCACACAGCAGGCCGTGGAGCTGAGGGACTGTATTTCCTGGCTGGGGAATGCATAGTGGAACTGTCTGGGTTTCATAGCACTTAGGTGGAGGTGAGGGTAGATTTTGTTTTCTCACCCCTATATATTCTAAACACCTATACATCTCACCCCATATAAGGGCTTCCTCATAAGGAGCCACATTCTGCAGCTGAGCCCTAAGGGAGGCTCGTCTTTAGCAAAGACGCCCACAGGAAAAGGAGGAGGCCAGGTGTCCTGCATCTCATGGCTGGGTTGTTGCCCCCAACTGGGCGGGCTTTAGAAGAACTGCTAGACTGTTTTTCCAAAGTGGCTGGCACATTTTCCCTTTCCAGAAGCAATGTATGAAGAACCCCCCAGGTTCTGAACTCTAAGGAAAGTCACCTGTTGGCAGGTGGGGCACCCCAGTCCCCAAATTCATTGCCAGGCCCACCCAAAGCCACAGGTTTAAAAAAAAAATCTCAGGTGACATTTCCACAAGCTGCCAAGCCTCACGCTGAACATATTCTCCTCTGCAGGTATCATTTTTGCAGTCGCAAGACTGTGAAACAAAAAAGGTTACAGACCCTTCGCCCTTGTTAAAAATGTGCTGCTCTTGTCCTAACCGGTTTGGCCTGCAGACTGAAGGGTCCCAGTTTTGATTCCAGCCAAAGGCTCGTACCTTGGTTGTGGGCATATCCTCAGTACTTGGTTGTGGGCACATCCCCAGTAGCAGGAGGCAGCTGATCAATGTTTCTGACTTCCTATCCCTCTCCCTTCCACTCTGCAAAAAATCATTAAAGTATATTTTAAAAAATGTGGTGCTCTCTTGTATCTTTGTGGTAATAAATGTTTAATGCCCTCAGGTTGACATTGAGGTGTTAGTTTGCCATCCTCTGGGTTCTGAGGTCACGTTTTGGAAATGATTTTTCAGACTAGAGCCCAGGCCCTGGCCAGTGTTCTCAGTGTTTAGAGCACCAAAGGGTCTCAGGCTCAATTCCTGGTCAAGGGCACATTCAACGGTTGCAGATTCCATCCCTGACCTTGGTTGGGGTGCTTATTGGAGATAACCCTCAATACGTCTCTCACATACGGGTGTTATTTTCTCTCTCCTTCCCTCTCCCTTCCACTCTCTCTAAAAATCACAGGAAAAAATGTCCTCAGATGAGGATTAATAACAACAACAAAATGCTGGAGCCAAGTTGGCTGCAGGTCATGTCTGAAAACTCCCACCCGCGGTCCTTTGCCACCATCTTTCTCAGGGCACCTGTGTGGCCTGTTCTAATGTAGACCATGCAGTTCTGTCCTGTATGAAAAGCTCATCATTACTTCCATGTGTTACCTGCCCAGATTTTAACATCCTAGGGGGAGGGAGCTGACCCCATAGAAGAGCAGCCTGGGTGGCATGTGTACCTCTGAGCCATTGGAGGGTGAATTTGCACAGGGCACCCAATGCAAACTAACCAGAGAGTATTCTTATACAAGGAACTTCTTCCAGACTCTCCCCCAGTCCCCCAGTTCCTCTCCAGAAACAACTTGAGATTTTTCCAGCAATATGTGTGCACCTATCTGACATGCCCCAGCCCCACTTCCACAGCTGGTAGCCTACAAAACACCATTCTTACCTCGCTTTTTACACTATAAAAATAGTTTGGATATTATGGTCTAACTAGAGACCCAAAGCATGGAATTCTTGCAAGAGTAGGACTTCCTTTTTTTTATATTTATTGTATATATTTAAATGCCATTTAACAAAGAAAAAATCAACCAAATAATGAGTTCACATGTCACCTCTGACATGTGTGTCACAGGTTTGCCATCACTGTCCTAGAGGGAGGGAGTTGACCCCATAGAAGAGCAGCCTGGGTGGCACGTGTACCTCTGAGCTATTGGAGGGTGAGGGCCTTAAAAACGTGAATTTGCACATGGCATCCAAAGCAAATGAGCCAGAGAGTATTCTTACACAAGGTACTTCTTCCAGCCTCGCCCCCAGGCCCCCAGTTCCTCTCCCAGGAACAACTTGAGGTTTTTCCAGCAATATGTGTGCACCTATCTCACATGCCCCAGCCCCACTTCCACAGCTGGTAGCCTACAAAACACCGTTCTTACCTCGCTTTTTACACTATAAAAATAGTTTGGAAATTATGTTCTAACTAGAGGCCCAAAACATGAAATTCGTGCAAGAGTAGGCCTTCCTTCCCCCAGCTGTTGGTTCCAGCTTCCCTCTGGCACCCAGGACCCAGGCTT